TTCAGATTTAAAGAACTTTCAGAAGTTTGAATTCTGAATATGAGCGACTTTTCCTTTAAGTCTAAATATATAAGAAGGAAAATAAAAACAAGCATAGTTTTTAAAAATAAAGGGTATTTTTAGAAAAGAGGAGGCAGAAGTTAGATTAGTCTGCATGGTGAGTGCTTTCTGTAAATGTAGCTCTGTAGAGCTGAGCTGAAGTCCAAACAGCTTTGTTGTGGTTCTGAACCAAACAGGGATGGACGTGTTCAGAGCAGACTGAAGATGGAAGCTGCAATCTGAAGCTTTTCTCACTGGAGTCGGACATATTTGTCCATTTGTGGAGTGAATGAAGAAGTTCATGTAATAAAAATACTAATAATTGAACTTTATTGATCTCACATTGGAGAACTTTACCTCTGCATTTAACCCCTCCCCTTGGGGAGCAGTGTGAGGTTAAGGGTCATTTTAGGCCAAACGGATCATTACATCTACAACACATCGATATCTTTTTGCTTTTTTTCTGCCACAGGTGCGGCTCAGAGGCGGCCGTAACCCCTTCGAAGGCCGAGTGGAGGTGCTGGTGGACAGGAACGGCTCCCTGGTGTGGGGGACGGTATGCAGTGAGGGCTGGGGAACCATGGAGGCCATGGTGGTCTGCAGACAGCTGGGCCTGGGCTTCGCCAGGAGAGCCTTCCAGGTAGCCGTCATTCAACACAACGACTCCCCTATGAAAGGAAAACTGGAGCTTTAATCTAATCAATACCATTCTTTGCATATTTCATTATTATTTTTGCTTTCATTTGAAGCTTGGATGAACATTCAGGTCAACTCTAACTAACCAATCAAACAGCTGTTTCTCACTGTAAAAGCAGATGATCACTAATAACTGTACCAGCTTTGATTAGCAGCCTTTCTAGGGACATATACATCTCAGAAAGCGTGTTTTAAAAAGCCTAAGTAAACTGAACAAGGGAGAAAAACTAAACAGGACTATAAATAACTTTATACAATAATTAACTCAATCTGAAAGTCCAAAAAGGAAAGAAAGCAGAATAATTGGCAGAGACTGATCCAGACATGGTGAGGATTCTGACATGATGCTGTTCATTCAGAAAAGCTCCAGAACAATCTGTCTCTTTATGGAGTTTATTGTAGTTTATTGCAAAGCCAATAAACAGAAAATGGGATTAATATCATATCCTTAATAACAATCCTTTTCCTGCATTTATCCCACCGCCCAGTGATTTCTTTCTGCTTGCAGCATGTGTTTTCCTGTGAGGGGTCTGTTGGTTTTTGGCATGCCATGCATATCTAAAGCAGCAACTATCTGAGGCCCCTGGTGCGAAACGGGGGATGCTGATGGTTTACAGTTTAAATGTGGCGGTTATTCTTTAAAAGTGGAATTTATAGCTGCATGATTACAGGAGGCTGAGGCTGCCTGCATCCAGACGACGGATGCTGTAGGTCTAAATCCCAGACTAGCAGCTGCTTTTCTTTTTCTGGGACTTTTAAGAATATTTAACCCCAATAATAAA